GAATGTCTCTGAATTTTTGTTTACTTCAAACTTTTGCACTAGTTTAAATGATAAGACTCAGTGCGAAATAAACGAATTAAAAACAAATTTGCTTGACACTCTCAGGCACCTCGACTTTGGAATGTTTTTTAGCTCTTTGTTAGCCTGTTACTACAGAAACCCTTTACACAATATGCACACATCGATGATCTTAAAGGCTGTTGGTCTTATTGTATTAAGTATCTGCTTAGGAATGACAAAATCAACACACATCAAAACATTGATCAGACTTTTCAAATTATGTGGTTTTCTTTTCGGGTTAGCATCAACTTTAGACGCTACCACTATAACACCATTAATAAAAAACCCTCATGATGCAAAATACGCTGACTATGGTTGCTTATTATTCAACATAGCGTTCTGCTTTATACTCTTATCGCTTTTCTTCTCCGTCAACACCGATACAAAAAGTCCTGAGTTTAAATTTTCTGAACTAATGCAAACTATTGTAAAGTTTTTTGGTGTTTCTGAGTTCTTTGTCGCCAACTTTATTTTTATATTCGCTACTTTTCAAACTTTCATTGCTTCTTATATTTTTGTTTCTTACTCCGATTACGGTGTAATTCAAATGAAAGAAATCAATATTGAATATGAAGAACTTGTCGACACGGAAGATGAAGAAAGAAATCAGTTATCTCCCATCGACGAAACTGTGATAGTCAACCCTAAGAAAACTATGCTATCTCTCGTCTTAAGTGTCAAATGGTATCTTCTTATGATTTTCCTGCTGAACACAACTAACTTCATAATTTACCCTGGTATTTACCCATTGCTTTCAGGCATTCCCTTATCTTTGAATGCAATCTCAGGCTACATCACAAGATTTGTTTTCATCATGTTCGACATCAACAGCAAACTCAGGAACAAATTAAACAAATACTTCCTTTTATTCTTTTACTTGTTATATTTCTTCGGATCTATTTACGCAATCCGCTTATGCCGCAAATTCAAAGAGTTTACGATCTTGTTTGATTTTATAAGTACTGCTCTAAGAATATCCTTACATTCTCTATGTTTCGATTATTTGTTCAGCCAAGTCAACGCAAACATTCCTGAAAGATACTCTATCAAATTCAACAGACTTCTTAATATTCTGTTATTTTCATCGGTCTTAGTAGGTAACCATATTTTCTCCAAGAGTCGAGCTTTATTCAAAGATTTATAGCTGCTAGTTAACATATCTGACGTCCTATACATGCCACATTTTACTTAAATAGAACCCAAACTGGTAGCCGAGATTAATAAAAACAAAACGCTATCAAAAAATAGATCTGAACAAATTCCAGAATTGAATTCTTCTACTGCCATGACTTTATCTCTGTATCTCATATTATTATCCAGACATTGTTATTACCTTTGAGTCTAACAGCACCCACCCCTAAGCAAATTCTATCTCACAAATAATTGTTAATGCCTACGCTTCTATGTCAAATTCAACGATTAGGTGTTTTACGCAGCGAATCAAAAATTATTTTAGTCTCGGTAAACTTCTGACGGAACTAATAAGTAAACTCTTTTTGAAAAATCAAAATTTGATTAAATAATTAAATAAATATACCTGAATCATCATGATTAAAACATATCAATTACTTTTCATGTATATCTTAAAAAATTCGTGCTTACCATAGTACATATAAACCATTTTATGCTAGTGAATCACCATGGTGGCTTGCTACAATTTTGTCCGCTAGATAGCTTTGAAGTTTCAATCTCAGTTACTTGAAGAGTTTTGCGGTTAATATAACAATATTTAATAATGTTTATACACTCAAAAAGCTTCTCAAGATTTATTTTGACACTTTTAATCAAAATACTTTTTCATTTAAAAATATAAACAGTTTTCTTATTCCTAGATAACTTTCAGAGTCTAGATTTTATAATGAACTTATCGAATGTTAAACAGTGTCTAGTAATTCTATAAATTATAGAATACTTTAAAAATAAAGTTATTGTCATTATATGGTTAAATGTTTAAATTTTTTCTATTTTATAAAAAGAAAATTATTTTTATTTTTTTTTTACATATATTTACATCATATCTATTGCCAAAAATTATATATGGACCGGAAGATTTCATATAATCGAAAAATAGGGTTATTTAATGGATAAGCTTGAAAAACGTTTTTCTGCCCACAACGGATCTGGCGATCACCCTATTCACATTTCGAGAAACATAACTCAAGACGATTTGAGTTTTTTTGCCTCGACAAAAAACGATTTGTTTACTAAACTAATAAGCAATGATATACAGGAATGTGAAATTTTAGCGCAAAAGCATTGCAGAATCTTAAAAAAGCATATTGAGGAAGTCAACAAGTTATCCGAATTCACAATGGTATGTTTTTTTTTCAATAAATCATATTTGACGTAGAAAAACATAGATACGGGTATTAAGTTAGAAAACAACATAGAGATTTTTGACTTAAAAGATTTGCCTGACAATGTATTTCAAAACATCATTCAATGATTTAATTAAAGATAAACGCAGGACTATCGCCTTCAGAAGCGTCTTTTATGATTTCAACATCCTCTGGCAAAATACATATTGCGCATTGTTTTCCTTCACAGTCAAAAGTACACATCCCGTCTTCGTCTGTGCCGTCATACAGACCCACGGGTTGACTTAACTTGACCCCATATATTATCTTATATTCTAAATCGAACAGTTTTTGAATGTATTTGGATGGATATCCAATGTATTTGATGATTCCTTTCACATTGATGTTATTAATTTTTATATAAAATCCCGCATCAATGACTTGCTGAACGGAGCCCAGTCCAAACCTTTGATTGCAATGCTCTACGACTTTTTGATCGTCAAACTGATGTGTATCGCGATTGGAATTATAATACTGCTCCCTTAATGCTTTTATTTGTGTGTAAGCGGTTTTTTCTGACTTTTCGTATTGTTCTCTCGTTATTTTGTATCTTTGAACAAGGGGATTCTCTTTTAGTTGCAACAATATGGAGTTAGGGTTGCTGTCAACAACGTGAATTGTTTCATGGTCGTTTAGATCTGAACACGGATGCTCTGAGTCTAATAAACTTTTTTTTTCCAAGTTTTCAACTTTGTACAATTCAATACAGTTTTCGTCAGATCCAGTTCTAGCTGAAACTAAAAGTTTCAGTTCCTTCATAGTGAAATTTCTTTTAACAGGTATAGCAATCCATAGTCGGTCAGGAACGAGATTATGAGACAAATTTAATAAGACTCGGTCTGTCATTAGAAACAAAGTGAACGAGCTAGAACTGCAATATTAGAATATTTTATTCAAAGCCTTACGGCCAAAAAAATTTTTTTTTTTTTATATTTTCAAGTCACAAATATATGGCTTGGAATAACCAATAATTAATATGACACACGCCAATGTTATCATATCATATGGGAACAAAGTATATACGCTAAGTGATTATCAAACCTTACCTGAGTTTATTGAAGACGCTCTAAAAAATAATCAAAGTCTAAAGAAAAATGTCAATTTTCAGAACAGACTTGAAATACTCCAGGGGTTTCAATTTTCCTCGCATAGCAATCAAATTAGATTGACAAAAAGCAAACGTTATCTTGGTGTCTCAGGCATGTATCCTCCAGATTTACTTGTCTATGATTTGGACGAATTAGCTATTAAGTTCATTCGAAGAATCGACTCTGAAATAAGAGATTTTATTTGGCTTACCGAAGATTACAAAAAACTTGCCATTTTACGAAGTGACAAAGTAATTGAATTTCACGACCAAGGGGGTCTTTTTTTTAAATTCGGTATTCCTTTCAACGGCACTAAACTTTTATATAACGAAAACGACGCTATACTTTACATCGCAACCACAGATCATTTAATTTTACGAATTGATCTTTCTGAAGGTAAATTTTTGAAATCATTAGAAACTGTTGGGTACGACGTTAGATGTATCGCCTACCATAAACTTAGTAAAAAATTAATTGCTGGCACTGTGTCTGGAACAATTGAAATATTTGATAACAATAATTTAGATCCCGTTAATATTTTTAATCACGCAGAAAAAGAAAATTACGATAACTCACTCAAATTTCTCACTTGTGACTGTAGTGAAAAAAGTAGCCAAATTGCATTTGGTACTAATTTAGGAAAGGTCTACGTGTTTAATGTAAACGACATTTCTACACCCCTTTTTATAAAGGATCATAAGATCATTTCGCCCATAACTGACGTACGTTTTTCAGAATCGTTTTCAGATATTGGAGAACACGAAATAATCATAAGTAGCGATATAAACAATATCAAAGTTTACCAGTACAATGGAACACCCAACTTGGATAATATAGTTTCGATTCCGTCTATCGCAAGTATAAATGCAGTTCTACATTTTCCAAGAAGTGGAATGATCTTTAGCTGTTTAAACACACAAAAGATGGCGTTATTTTATGTCCCAACAATAGGAATAGCACCTATTTGGATTCCGTTTGTCGACTGTGTTGTTGACGAAATTGATTCTTCTGTTAACAAACGAATATATTCAGACTTCGTCTTCATCACGCACAGAGATATCCGTAATTTAGGTTTCAGCTTGGTCGATGTACAAAAGAATGTAATACCTTATCATCACGGCTTTTTAATAAACAAAAACAAACATCAAGAATTACTCATGCAAGCTAACATAATTGATGAAAAAGAAATAATCGATGAATTCATAGAAAATAGACGCAAAAAAGAAATTAAGCTCGATCCATACAACATCAGCATTAATAAAAACAATGAAAACCTGCCTTCTAAACAAGAAATACCTGCTCAGTTGAAAGTTTTTATCGATACCCCGGTTTCACACACTAAAAAAATTAAGAAACAAAAACAAGCTGCTATAAGTGTGGCTAAGGACACAAGGTTTAGCGAGCTATTCGATTAATCTCGTAAATACATAGTTTTAAATAAATATGTGACTAAATAAATAAAACAATTATATCTAACAAAATGTTTCTGCAACTATTATTTATACAAAGATACTTTGGGGGTGTAAGAAACAGATTTTATATTACGATTGGCTGAGTTAGATGTTTGTATTATGTTTAAACTTGGTTCATAAACGTCACTTAAATAATCTATCTTTTTTTCCGATGAAACATCAAAATCTCTATTTAATTTAATAAAGTTTTGTTTATTTAGTGAAAAATTACTGTGGTTCAAGTCCAAATTTGTTAAATTGGTAGAATTCTGTCCGTAAATTACGTTTGGTTTATGAAGTAAAGCAGATTGGTCTTTTTGAAAATTTAAACGGTTGTTATTAGTAAAATCAGTGCTATCTCCGTAGTTCACACCGTATTTACCATTAGGCTGGATCATTGTCGAATAATTGTCACCAGATATTATGTTTAAACTAGCAGTTACATCAGTGTTTTTCTGAATGTGCGATATGGTTGAACTAGCCTTGTATGAGCTTTTCTGCAAATCATGAAACGAACAAATATGAATTTTATCTGCTTTAGAAGTAATTGAACCTCTTGCTTGGCTACAAACATCAATGGCCCCTTCTTTTAAATTATATTTATCATTATTTATAAACCCGAAACTAGAATTTAATTCTTTCAGATCACTTGAATATAATTTAATAGGCGATTTATTACTGACAGAATTCAATGGTTTAGAGCCATAATCGATTTTAATAGGAGCAGCAATGTCCCATTCAGGCCATGAAATTATATCTTCGCATATTTTATCTGTAGTTTCAGATTTTTTCAACTGTTTGTTATAACCTTTATTAAAAGCATACCCTTGGTTTTCTTTGTTTGTAATATAATCCGCATTGTCATGTTCAGAATGAGAAATTCGTGCAAAAAATTTATTGGGTGGTAAAATTACTACTTTTGGCATTTTGCCAATTAACGACAAAATAACTGGTAATAATATTAAACCGTGCAATATACCGAATACCAAGGTCATGGTTAACATTTTGAAAAAAAGTCGAAAAATGAAGGATTCACTAAATCCTAATATAAGAATTCCAACGAGAGTAGAAGCAGCCCCGTGAAGTACTGGCGTCCCCATCAAAACAAGACACTCTGTACTCCTAAAATTTTTTGTCTTTCCTTGACAGTGCGTAAAAGAATGACTAATATGAGCACTGTAATCAATACTAAAACCAATGCTGATGACGATACAAATCATGGATATCATTTGCAATTTTATATCCCAATAATACATGAATCCCATAACCGACAGATCAATTAATAGCATCATTATCAAAACAATCAGACCTGTTGTAATATCAGGTATCAATATTAACGCAACAACTAACATGCTTATAATTGCCGTACTGATTGAACTTATAACTGATGTAGAAACATAAAGATCAGACTCGTAAAAAAGCATCATGTAGTTCCATGGAATAGCTATGATTGGAATAAACTGCACACTATCTTCTATCATCGGCTTAGATTTGATAACCGAAAAATTGGTTGAAGCAAACCTGGAATAGGATTCATGTTTGTCGAATTTTTTATTTAATATGCTATCATTATTTCTTACATATTCCTTTAACAACTCCGCATTACCGACTATTCCACATTGTTCTCTAATAAGTTTCATCCAATTTGCTCTTTCTTGAGATGACTTCATTCCTTTGGGAAACAAAGTAATTTTCCATGACATTAAGTTTCTACCTTCGAATATAAAATCATTTTGGAATTGTTTGTATTTGCCACCGGGCTTAGACAATTCAGCGTATAAAATAGATTCAAATCTTTCTTTACTTTCGGTAATAAAAAGATGCCTAATGCTATCATCATCTATCATTCTTGTAAGTGGATCGCTGTAAAACTTTGTTTCTTCACTGTTACCGATTAGTTCATCTAATACCCTTAAAGCATTAATTGCTCCCTGATTCCACCATGGGGTTTGTTTTGGAAACATGATAAACACCGGGATATCATATTTGCCAAAATATTGTTCTTGTAAATAATCATACTGTCGAAGATATGAACTATTTGGAGATAAGTCTTTGAGTTCTAATCCGGACTCCATATTAATAAAACCGTAAATAGACATTCCGAGCAATAAAATAAAAGCCAATAACACAAAGATCTTGGTAACAGGGTCTAGAAGAAATGCGCAATATTTCCTAGAGATTAAAGTCCGCCAAAAACTCCCTACATTATTATTAGGTTCTGAATATATTGCTGGGTGCCGTTTAGCAACTATCAATCTGATTGCTGAAGGACTGAGAGGAGATAAGGATTGGTAATCTCTTTGCTCATAACTATAATTTGAAACATTCCTTAACCACTTTATTAAATTATAAGTTCGTTTAGTCTTTGAACTATTAAGATATTTCGGTTTTAAGATAGGTTTGAATTTAGTAGAATCTGCGTAATCTTTATTGACTTTCGCGTTTATCACATCATAACAGGTGAGTTCGTTTTTATATGTAGATATAGCATTTGTATTTTCCATCATTTCAACATTTTTTCTACTTGCTTTAGAGGAAAAGACTTTTGTAGTTCTAACAAATTCACGGCGGGCTTCATAAAATAAAACGCCAAGAAAAATTGTTAACTCGTAAAAGACGCTGAAAAGCAAACCGTTCATTGAAAAAATACAAAAGTTTCGTATACTAATGTATGGACTATTAATTCCAACAGCGAAAGCAATCAGAGAAGTTAGTTTTGTTAAAATAATACTGACACCACAATCTTTCATCGTAGCTGTACATCTTTTACGAGGCGTTGGTTCAAAGTAAGTCAAAGAGTAGTTATTTATTATAACGAAAATGTCATCAGTACCTATACCCATTATTAAAAATGGCATGACAAGTGCAGTAGGAACAAAAGAAACGCCAACAAGACTGCTAAAGCCAAAACCCGATACGATTCCTAATAACGCACTTAGTGATCCTGCAAACGCTGCGATGGATTTATTTTTGTATAAATCAATACTAAAATTCATAAAGGCAGTATAAGCAATGACTGATAAGAAAGTAAAAACTACGAATATTAGATCTTTACTTTCACTAGTACTATTTCTCAATTCATCATCTCTAGACTTAAAAGAATTTGCGGATAATAACAATCCATCATAATGTTTATTCTTTCTTAACACATCGTAGAATATGTCCATCCAGGCAAAGTTACGAATTCTATATTCAGGCTTGTCATGTAATTCATAAATAAAATTAAAAGCTTCAACGGAAGTGACACAGTCTAATGTCACAATTGAATTGTTTGAATCACTTCCCGGCCTCAACTCGTTCATCGAGTACAAATTCAATAATACAGAAGTAGGAAACTCACGTTCACACTCAAAGCTAGTGTAATTTCCCAGCACAAAATCAGGAATGAATGCTTTTTTTTCCGAATTAAAAATGTATCCGTTCATTATATAAAGTTCTGGAGGCGCATTTTTAGGAAGCATTTTTTTGATATCCCATATACCCATTTCAAATATAGAAATGATTTGACATTTTCCAAATGGACTTATATAACAAATATCTTCAAAAGTTAAATAGTAATCATCTTCATAAATGTTGTGTTTATGAACTTTGGAGCGGTATTTCTGTAAATTATACCCGTGCTTCGCGTAAGGAGTGTCATAATTGTTAATATCTATTGTTCCTTTCGAAGTTTGATTAGGTAAATATTTATCAAGAGCCGGTAATGCGATTCTTTTTCCATCTATTGGATCTAAAATGCGTCCTCTTATCAAATTATCAATTTCCTGAACTTTTTCTAGGTTTTCCCATGTTAATAAATTGGCGCCAGGAGGGTCAGTAGTAATAATCAAAAAATTTGGTAGCGACAATGTAGAATTAAACACCGTTTCGTGAATTATCATACCTTTTTGCGCCTCGGTATTAGGCAGTGTATATAAATTAAAAGCGCCTTCGAGCCAATTTGGAATTCCAGGAACAAATCCAATTAAAGTCAAAAGAAATAAACAGAAAGCGGAAATCATTACTTTTCCTGTATGATCATAAACAATAGCACCCCATTTTTTACATAATTCGCTTAACCATTCGGTAAAATTGATTTTGAAAAATACAACATCCTTGATAAAACTACTATTAGAATCTTCATGGGAAACAATTTGATTCGTCATTCTTTAAGCAAATTGAAACAAACTCAAAAACAAGGTTAATAGAATGTATGTTTTCTATAGTTTTGATAGTGCGACATTCTAGCAAGTGCGCATTAAACATAATTTTATCAAAACAAAAAAAGTATTTTATTGATAATACAACTCAAAGAAAATAGCATCTTCAAAGTCGTAATCGTTCAGCGTAAGCTGATCCCTCATTATTATGTTTTGGCGTTGAAAAACCATTTTTTCGGGAGATAGATCTAAAAATTATGCTATCACAAGACGGTTAACTTACTAAGCAAGGGGCTGGCGAGTTTCTTTACTTCCGCAATTGTGAGATCCGGTGAGCATTTAAAAACACATTTCCTTGACAAACGATCACTAATTGTAATTTTTATTTGCGCCATTGGGCTTATTTATGCGAAACTAGTACAATTGTGGTTATTTATATTTTTCAATAATTTTTTCTTTATTTTTTAAATATACCCCTTTCAGAAAAAAAAGCAACACGTAGTTTGTTTATGTGCTAGAAAGATACTTTTCCACGACAGTAATATGCTTGACTCGAATATTTCTAAGCGGTGCTTATCAAAGCACATCAATACTATCAGAGAATCATTTAACACGAAGAACTACGAGGAATTTTCTGCTTATGATTCAGAATCAGTAAAAACTTACTTTTCTCAGACATCTGGGGGAAGCGATTTTTTTACGTTGATTAAAAATTACGGTGTGGCTTTAAACACTTTTCATACAAGTCAAAATCTCAACATTACCCATCTGTTAAGGGATGAATTGACGTTATCAGCGCTTTTAATTACGCCAATGGAACTTTTTGAGAGTTTATTAACAAAGAATATAAAAATAAACGATCTAATTTCGTTCTTCAATGATACTTTCATGACCGCTAAAATAACGCAAAAAGCTCTACTTATTGCTTTGTTACTGCGGATCATTAATATTAATTCAGAATACCTAAAACAAATAAAAGAAGTATGTTTGGCTAAAGTGACTCAATTTCTTTTTGATTTTCTGAATTATAAAGATGTAAGCATATACAACGTTAAATTAGTCATACTACTTTCCAACTTTCTCACAACGAACCTATTCGTTCTCATTTCAAAGTATATCTTATTAGATCAAAACTTTTATAAAGCGCTCAATAACAGTTTTAGTTTAGCTTTGGAATATTTAAAAACAGCCAAAGAGTTTTCGGATTTGTTTACACATATTTTTTTCCTTAATCGGAAAATCAATAGTGAACAATTTCACGGTTTAATAAATGTTGAATTCAACTCAGCTTTCGACGAAAATTTACCTGATTTTTCTGAACAGAATAAAGTTTATTTTTCTAAACTTATTTTTCTAGCTTCAGGGCTCAACGCTGAGTCAACAAATTTAAACTCTTCTTCAATTATAAAATATTTCCTACTAGTTATTAATGTTTCGCACATCAAAAAAACATCAAATGCCATCAAATTACTTCGAAAACTTGAGAAACTGCACAAAATTTTCATACTCAAGTCTATTTATGATATATTTTTAGAATTTGATGTGGACACTTTATTGACAGGAATGAGTGACGCTCTGAATAAAAAACACATTTCTGGCAGCTTATCAAGGTTGTTTACGATTTTAACTCAACAAAAAAGTCACTACCTATCTAAAACTTCTGCTCAAGAGTTTGATGTTAAATTAAATGATTTTTTAATTAACTTTGTTAAGAAAGTCACGAATTCAACCATTAATCATAGCGTCATTAAAGCTGAAAAATTATCTGATATAAAAGATCATAATAAACAAAATTCTAATGCTGCTTCGATTGCCGCTAATAAAAACGGCCCAAAGTCAAATAAGCAAGTCACAATATCAGAAAGCAACCAATTGACTAACCTGAAACTATTTTTCATATTCCAGCAATCGAATGAAAACAGAGTTATATATTATTATACGAATTTCATCAAACTCACTAGCGTGTTTATTGTCATGATATCTGAACAACTCAAGTTAACTTTACTTGAGGCTTTGCTTGATTTTTTTGTTGAACATAAATCGAATTCGATTTTATTCAATTCTATTCCTCTACTCATACAAAACATTCTAAGCGTTACTCATATAAACAAAGATTACAAGTTAAAATGCTTATTTACGCAATGCTTCATAGCAATGTTTTGTCAGGATAAAAATACATCTTTATTTATTTTTATTCAAATATTGCAAGGGTATCTCAATTTAGATTATCAATTGAACAAACTCCAGTCGTTTCTCATAGAATACATTATATATGAATTGGCAAAATGTAATGAATTAAAAACCAAAGAAATCGAACATTTTACGAAATTTTACTCAAACTATATACTAGGAATACAGTATCTGAATTTAAACAAGTATTTCAACTTTTTAGTGTATTTGTCTCAAACTGAACCTAAACTTCTAAATAGTCTATGCCAACTCACTCACAAAATTTTTGAAACTACGAGCACAGACACTATTTGTCGATTCCAATTAGACCTTGACACAGTTAATTCACTTTTTAAAATACAGAACGATGAACTTGTGTTATTATTCTTAAATAATTTAGATTATTTTTTCAGATATGAGCAAAGAAATTTCGAAGTTTCTCTAGAATTATTTTCAAAATACTCTACCTTATACTTGATTGTATATTTGCATGAGTTTAAAACAAATAAATTTAATCATTTCAAACATACATTTTCAGAAGCGGTTATTAGTGCTATTCATGAGAAATATTTTACTGAGTCATACAACTCAATCACCACACTAATTGATTCTTCCGACTACATCTTTGGTTGTCTGATTTCGTTTTTGCTAAAGAATTTCGAAAGCTTCAATATCGAAACATTAATTGGAATTTACAATAAGCTCAAACACGAACGTAAATTCTCTGTTGTACCGCAAACGATACTGACACTAAGTCTTCCAGAAGAAGAGTTAGATAAAATTGTAAAAAAAATAAACACTGAAGAACTTAATCCTTCAACTCAAAAAGAATTACACATGCTTCAATTGTTGACGGACATAACGAGTTCGGAAAAGTTGGGTTCGATCACAAACGCCGTTTCACTACTCAATTTTATACAGTATCTATTTTACGACGAATTTTATGTTTCATTTACTTTTAGCGACAAAATCAAGAATTTTTTGCAAGCACTATTTTTGTCACCGTCCCAGCTTCGCTTTCAACTGAAACTGTCTACAAACTTTCTTACTTTTATCAAACAACTGTTTACTACACATATTTCTGAGCTATCTTCTTCTTCCATAAGCGCTTATCTAGAGCTTTTAATTACGTATTTAACATTAGCTAAACACGGTTTAAAAACTTTTCCTTTTGTTTTAGATTCAGTTTTCGATATAATAAGGTCTAAATATTTAGAATCCGAAGACAAAATAAAGTTATTAGACGCGCTTGACTATCACTACGCTGTTCACTCCGCAGATGCATCTTATGATTTTGATCTTTTGATAAATCAGGATATTCCTATGGATATTACTGAAGAAACAGAAAGCACAGTAGTGGGTCTTGTTATTATAAAAGTTTTCACAATATGCCGCAGATGTGCGTCGGCTTTTATCTACGAACGAATTCAAGAGCAGATTGATAGTTTAAAAAACTTCAATCTGTCTGACAAGAAAGTGATTCTACCACTAATTCAGTTAAATTACTTGATTCATTTCTTTCCAGATTTTTTCTCTAATAACAAAAAATTCGATGAAGTCTTGCTAGCAGTGCAGGAACTACAAAACAAGTTTTTATTTAGTCATATACCACTTATTAAAAAATATTCTTGGGCTTTGTCTAAAAACGTCATTAAACGACTGTCTGCAGAAGAAATAGACAAACTTCTAGTGAATTTGAAAGAATCTTATAGCAAAATTTATAAATGGAAAGATCAAGCCTCAATTCTAATTACTCTACAACTTATTGCAGAAATTAGGCCTAGTTATACCGAAATAATTTTAATAGAAAACATATCTATTATTGCTAACATAATAAAAGTCGATTTCTCAACACTTGGGTCAATCGCAAAAGAGTTGTTAAACAAATCGCTAATATTCCTACAAAGCGAACAGTTGCCTGGTTTATTAAAATCAACACATACCGTAATATTGAACCACAATGAAGCAAATCTTGTTAATTTTTTGAACGAATTCAATTCTTTTACACTCACAAAAGATTTCGATTTGTTTATCACCCATATTTTAAATGACATATTAACGAGAGAGCTTACAAATCCTAACTCAATTCACAAAGAACAATTTTTAAAGCTATTTACTGTTGTAAATGGATTTGTCTCAGAAAACCAACGGAAGCTATTCGATTGGACAGAGTACTTGTCTAAATGTTCAAAATGTTTATATTCTAACATTTATGTTCAGCGCAGTATTGCTGCAAACTGCATAGCATTTTTACTCATTAAAACTAAAAAAGCAGAAGATGCTTTTCCAGTTTTGCTCTCTAAGCTTTATCAAAGCGACTTCTTCTTAGAAAATCTTTCTTTGTCCATGATAATTTGCCATCTGCTTTCAAACTGTACCGACGAGTCATTTATGAAAGTAATCACAGCGTTGCATAATGTTGCAAATACTCATCAATCTCAAAGAACTTTAAATGTTTTTTCAATCATACTACTTTACTCCACATACATAGTGAACCATCATGTTCAAAACAACAGTTTATCTCTCATTAAGTTTGCATTGAAGAGCTTAACTGTGCAATACGAAAACATCAACAACAACTTATTCAAGGTTTTAGTTAATTTGTTCAAGCTTAATCAGGAACAGAACTTTTCCGAAATTAGCAAGCTTTTGATTCATATGATGCAAAATTCTGAACCGGTTATTCGAGAGCTCGCGATCAAATCAACGTTACGATTTTTGCAGCGACACGAAGGTTTGGTAACGAAGCTTCAATGTCCTGTTTCAAAAGAAGCACGAGAACTCGACTTAACTGAAGATGAAAAATTTTTATTGGCTTATCTATATTTGTCGAGAGG